TGAAACGTTCAATTTAATCAAAACTCCATAAGAGGCCGTGTATAAGACTGATTTTGTTTATTTAATTTCTCGATATCCATAAGTTCTAAAATTTTAAAATTGTCACCGATGTTCACCATCTGTCTAATACTATTAATTAGAAAAATTATAACTTTGTTGGTGAATGTCAATTGTCAAGGTCATCGCCAAATTCACTTGGCACCCTTAAGGAAATATGTGAATACTTGAAAGATTGTCAACTGCGCATATAAATCAATTAAGATAAACAGGACAATATAATATATCACACTAAATCCGACCGTAATGGTTGGGTGCGTTAGGTGTTGCTCCGGCGGACATCCGAGTCCAGCTGCGTTTAGCGCGGCTAGTATGGGTGACCGCTTAGGAACACCCAACGAGGATAGACCTGAGATCCTCTTTGGGAACACCCTCGCCCAAAAATTTCGGAAGATAGGCACGGTGCAGTGGCCTAATGTGCCCCTCTAGTCAGTGTGACAGAAGGGCACATTAGGGCTCTGCACAATCGGCGGGCTGTACGACTGGGGTTTTCCATGGTTTCCCTTGCAGTCGTAGCCCGAATGGGGTACAGTTAAGAGTAAGACGGTCCATGGTAACGCAGAAAGAAATCAGAAGAGAGAAGTGGGAGAGGCAAGGCAGACGAATGGGAAGCCCATAAAACCGTAATGGTAGTAGGAAAGAATAAAAAAAAAAAGAAAAAAAAAAAAGAAAATATCACACTAAATGCGAGTGAGTGTAAAAAAACTCACTATATGAGTTACATCACTCCAAAACAATAAGAAACAAATAATAATCGATCGCCAGGCAGTGTTTTTCAGCGGGAATATTCTTTCATTATGAGTGCAACATAAAATCGCACAATTTTGCAGGACTATTTGTCATATTTCCTTCAAGGGAGAAGACATCCTTCAAATCTTTCGTTTTATTCATTTTTTCAAACCATCGTTTGTATGTAAATTGCCATCAGACACAGCCGCGACGTTTGCAATGTCGCCGAGATTAATTTTAATGAGGGTATTAATATTCTACCGGTTCTCGGATGTTAATGGATATTTACGGGTTTTTGAATTTAATGTGACATGCCAGTGGCCACCACACACCCACGACGAGAATTCTTGATATGTATTTAATAATTTATCGGTGCGAGAACAAAGCAGAGATACTGTTTCAAATCGTGTCTGACCTTTGTAAGAAACAAGTTGAAATTACAGAATGTTGTACATTGGAATCTGAAAGGGTCGGGAGCGATTTTAATATCCCTGATATGTTTGTGGCATCACGTACCCAATTCGTGACCGAAATGGTCGCTCCGAGGATTCCAAAAATTCCCGAAATTTGGATATGAATGAAGAATGAACCAGTTTAATCCGGCTGTAGGGAAAAGTATCACGCGTCATATAATTTTTTTTCTTCTGAGCCTGCGGACGAAATTTGCGAATGCGGGATTTTTTTTCTTGGAATCATAAATCTCAAAGCGGATGTTCTCAAGGAGTCATCAGAGGGCACGAACAAATTTCATAGAAAGAACTAGCAAATTCGATACAAAATTGTATTGAATGTCTGTTGAAAATTCTATTAATTTTTCGCCGATTCTATTGGGAAATTCCGCGGTGTTACTGCATACTGACAAAAAAAATTAATTTTATCCAGAGAATTTTGTTTGAATCGACTATCATTTGATTGATAATTTTCAAATAAATATGATTTTATAGTAAATGCCAGTTATCTCTTCTTGAGATATATTTGATTGGGAGAAATCGAACTTCTCTAGAATTGAAGTTCCTTTCATTTATCGCAATAATGAGAGTATTTGAATTCTTTATAGCCAAAAGTTTGCTAACTCCAGAAGTTCGTTGGTTTACTCAAAAATCAAAATTATTCTCATGACTAAATACGTTGTTATCTCAATTAACACGATCATACGTTGTTCCAAGTCAATTATATTAGGCTAAAAAAAATATAACTTTTCCATTTTTGTGGCGAATATATGTGACTTGACGCCGAGGACTGTTTTATTTGATTCAAATAAATGTATTTCAAGAAGAAATAATTGATATTCACTGTAAGACCTTATTTATTTGAAATTGGTTCGCTATCTTCGTACGTGTCAGATACAATTTTTTCTTTCAAACATGCGGAGGAAATCTGCAAATGTTGCAGCATTTTTTCTTAGAATAACGAACGTCAAAGCAGACTTTTCCAAGAATAAATCGGGGATTGTGATTTTCAAATAATCTCAAGGAATAAAATTGAATTACAGTTTGAGATGTAATTACCGAGCAAAGTTCAAGGTTTCATTCTTATAAGAAATGAAGTGAAATGTCAGTGAAAAATTATCTCTTCTTTGTGGATTTCAAGATATTCCCCAGGAACATATCTTCAAGTAAAAGTGACTCATCTCGTTTTATCAGCCAACTCTTGAATTTATATGAAAACAATCATTATCACTCTGTAGCACTCAATCTCTCTCTGATGTTCCCGAAATTAATCGACTAAGTGCCTGAACTTATCTGCGAAATATCTCAGCATCAAAAATAGAAAGCAGAATTTCCGTGAAGCTTCTAATTTCCTCTTATGTCCGTAATTTTTTTATTTTCCTAATGCCTCCTAAATTCTGATCTTGAGATATTCACGAAAAAAAATTCAAAATTCCTCATAAAAAATTCCCTCCACCCCTTACTTACTCCCTCCCCCCCCTTTCGCACAACATGTGAAAAAAAACACGTGAGAAAAAAATTCAGAGAAAAAACCTAGCGAATTAAATAGAAAATTCTATTGAATTTCTAGTTGTTTTTGGCCAATTCTATTGAAAAATTACACAGCTTGTCAGTGCGTTGTTTTCTTTTCAATGGAAAATATTTTGTGAGAAATTCAATAGAATTTGATTTTTCTAAACGACTTATTCTATTGAGATATTTTCTGTAGAAATTCCTAGACTCAAGTTTTCAAAGTATTTTTGTCTTTTTTTGTTTTAAAGTGATGCAATCCATCTACTGCAGTATCTTACATTGACTTATTTTGCGTTAAATTATCTAAATCTGTAGTTTACAGTCTTTTAGGTATTTATATATCTCGTTTACATATTTCAGTCAGTTGTTTCTGCGATTTTTCTGGTATTTGTATTTGCATTCTCAAATGAAAACGTAAGAAAAATACCGCTGGAGAAAATTCGAAGATTTTTTTCATCGAAAATTCAAGTCAATTGAGAACTTTTTGTCTTTTTACTGCGCAAAAAGCTGGAATTCAAAAGAAATTTCAGTAAAATTTGAAATTTCATTTTTTTTGTTTTTGAAAATTACTACTAAACCGTCTATGAAGTTTCAATTTTTTTCAACAGTAGTGTAAAAATTGATAACATTTATTCAATCCACCTATATGAAGAAGTTTCACTGAAAAACCTAGCGAACTCATTAAAAAACTCCTTCTCCCCAGCCATTAACGGTCATCAACAGTAATTTGAATCAAACGAAAAACGGAAAGAATCAAGAGAAACCAAATTCCCTTCTATAATTGCCAACGTTTCGAACACACAAAGTGCATTGAAATAATTGAACCAAAGGTAATCATCTCAGTTAACAATCAGAGAGTAAATAAATACTTGTCAGAACCCTTCACAATTATTACCACGAAATTGCACATGAAGACCTAGCGCACTCGCTAGAAAATTCTGTTGGATTTCTAATGAACTTTCTATCAATTTTTTACCGATTCTATTGTCAAATTTTGCAACTCATCTGCGTTTTTTTAAAATATAATAGTGTTTAATAGAATATATTTTATCGAATTAGATTTTTCTATACAACTTATTGTATTGAAATATTTTCTATAGAAGTTTCTCGGCTCCAAATTTTCATTTTTTTTGTTCAATTTTTCAAATGAAATTTGAAGAAAAATTTAGTGAAAAAAATTAGAAAATTCATATTGAGGAATTTCTATACAAAACGTTCCGAAAAAGTTCTAAAGATGAAATTCCACTGATTGTCTCCATAAAATAATTTCTATTGGTCATTTTCTATGAAAAAACGCGCAGTCAATCTGCGGAATTCTTAAAAAAAAATAATCCCGCGAAAACTAATCCAGATTTCCATAGAAATTCGATAGAAATCCCATAGAATTTTTAGCTACTAAATTTAGTCGCGCCTGAAAGTGGAAAGATCTCGGATGAAAAATTCCATCAATCCCCTCTCCTATTGATAAACCCGAAGCGTCTGTGCAATCTAGCCCTGAATCACTTGACCTCGTCGTCTGCCGGGTCACCGGCACGACAATCACAAGAGGCCACGGTGTCGCCCCTTGAATCGCAAACGCATCGACCAAAAAGCCCCCCACAATCCCCCAAACCCCTCAACTTACCACGTGTCTACCGGCCTCCTTCCCCGCCGCATCTGCCTCCCCCTCATTCCTCCTCTCCCCCTTCTCATTATTCCCATAGTCATCAAGGTAATCAGAATCAAGACTCCTCACTCCCCCGTGATTCCTCTTCACCGCCCTCAGATTCTTCGAGATCTTGGTCCCATTGAACTTCAAATTCCCAAAAGCATCCTTCATCAAAAACTTCTCAATCCCCTTCCCAGTGTTTCTGTAATCCCTTTTAACCCCAATTTCACTGTCATCATTGTCCTCCCCAGCAGTGAGCCTCTTAATGATCTCGTCATAAGTCCTGTACGGCGGCTTCTCCCTCTCCTCACTGATATCCTCAAAGTAATCGTCATTAATCCCGTCAAACTCCTCATCCTCGACATCAACATCGTCGTAGTCCCCCAATTCCTTCCAGATATCCTCGTTCTCTTCCTGCTTCCCGGAGCTCTCCCTCCGCAGATCATTGCTCCTCGACTTTCTCTCGTCCCTCCCAAAGATACTACTCTTTTTGGTCCTGTCATCAGCATCATCGCCAAGCATGTCATCATCCCTCTCCCTGTGCCTGTACTTCCTCCTAGACCACTGTTTTGCGTTATCCAAGTCAACTTTGCCGTCATCAATCCAAGAATTTCTCCACCTCGGGATGTAAACCTCATTGTTACGGGGATAGTGACGCTGATGGTGGTGGGGATGATGAGTATGGTGGCGATAATGCCCACGGGATAATGGTTTAACGTACTCGTAATCCTCATAATCGTCCTTCGTATCGTTGGGCACTGCTGGAGATACGTGATCACGAGTCCTCGAGGGATAATCACTCGTGTGGTATAATCTTGTATCCGGGCGTGTCCTATGACCCCGAGGGGCAACAAGTCGGTGATTCCTACGGTCTGTGGTGAACTCATCGGTTTGGTACCTTCGGTGATGAATCGGGGGGGTCTTCTCCGCGGAATCTAAGCTCTCGTAGTCGTATTCATCGTCATCCTCGTCGTCATCATCATCATCTTCCTCCGGCAATCGCTTCGTTGGATGCTGTCGCTTCTTCTCGGCGTCCTCGTACGTCTGGAAGGCATCGTCGTTGTCCTCCGGTTCGGGGGTCGTCAAGTGCTTTTGCATTGTTGGACGGGGATGAGGGAATTCCTGGCGGTGATGCCGGTGCCGGTGTTTAGTCGCTGTACTTTCCTCACCGTGATACCTTGCCTCTGTCAGCAACAACGATCCGGCTATCGTCAGCAGTATCACAAGCGCAATTTGGAGAACGCTATTCATTTCGATTTTAGGGGCAGGGGGAGGCAGGTGGTTACATTATAGCGGACGGGGGTTCACTTGGGTCTTCGCATTTCAGGGGGGTTTAGGGGGTCACCGGTCTGGGGCCTGATCAGGGGGGTGTCATTTTTTACTGCGGGTTCGGGGAGTATTTTTAGACACTTTTTAGACACTCAGATACTGCACATGTCGGACACTATTTTAATGGATGGGATTGCACAAAGTTGTAACGAGACGCGGTATATCAGAGATTTTTTTTTTTTGGATGCGGTTCAAAAACAAATTGCGAAAATTTGCTTTCGGCGGTGAGATTCGACGGCGGCAGAGGGGAGGGGCCGTGGGAAAGTTAACGAGTCTCGGTGATTTTTTTGATGGGGTCTTGTTGGTTTTACGACTCGTGAGGAGGGATTTTTTTTGCAGGTTTATGGAGGAGTTTTACCGGTGTGGGGCACCCAATCGTATCGCGTACCGAATGTCGCGGGCGACTGAGTCTGCGTCGACTCACCGGTGAGGAGAACGCAAAACTGAAAGCGCATGCGTGCATCAGACGAGCCATCATCCCCGCCACTTTACAACAGCGCGGTTGTCAAGAAAAAGAGGATGTACGGTGCAACAGTGGGATTTTTTTCATTTTTTGAAGCGGGTCTTTGGGGGGTTCTTGCGAACTGGGTTGGGGGTTTTTCGGCTCCGGGGAGTTCATTCATGGGGAGATGAGGTTTTTGGGATGGGAATTGATGGGGTTTTTGCGGTCACTCTAGGGTGCATTAATTTATTCTGTGGTGATGACTGGGTGGAATTGTTCGGAGAATTTGGGATTGAGTAATGGCCCTAGGATTACACTGCTTATGAAGTTTGGCTGAATTTTTAGTGTTTCACGTACGAACAAAATTCATAGAAAAACTTTGCGAATTCGATTTTTCTATCGAACTAATTCTGTTGCGATATTTTCTATAGAATTTCCTCGGCTCAAATTTTTTGTTTTTTATTTGATTTCCTTGATGAAAGGAAGAGAAAAATGGAACAAAAAAATTTTAGAAAATTTAGATCGAGAAAATTCTATAGAAAATATCTCAATAGAATAAGTTGTTGTTATAAAAAAAAATTTGAAACGCCCAAAAACTAATAGAAAGTTCAATAGAATTGTTTAGCGAATTCGTTAGATTTTTCTATCAAATTTTTTCGTGTGTGCTCACGCACGAATTTTTAGTATTTCTTTTTTAATATTTTTCTCTTCAAAAAAGTTCATTGAAAAACCTAGTGAATTCTATAGAAAATTCTATTAGTTTTTGGCCGATTTTTTTAAATAGTTGCCTAGTTTTAATTCGCATTTTTTTCAGAGAAAACATCCAATAGAAACTCTTTTATAGAAAAATTCAGTAGAATTTCAACTTTCTATACGTTTTCTATTGAGATATTTTTTGTAGAAATTACTCGATATGATTTTTCTTCTCTTTCTATTGAACTTTCAAATCGCACAAAAAACGTAGAAAATCAGAATCGGGAAGTTTCTGTATAAAAAAAGGGATGAGAATTGATGAGGTTGTGGCGGTCATTCAAAGGTGGATTAATTGATGATGCGCTGATGGATGTGGATGGAATTCTCCGCGGAATTTGTGATTGAGTAATGGTCCTAGAAATACAACTTTATAAATTTTGACAGACATTTTCGATATTCCACTCATGACCGAATTTCATAGAAAAATCTAGCGAGTTTGATAGAACATTCTACTGGATTTCTATTGAACTTCTTTTGAAAATTCTATTCTATATTAGCTTTTGGCCGATTCTATCGACTAGTTTAACTGCGCGTTTTATTTCATAGAAAATCTCCAATACGATCTGTTTTACAGAAAAAATCGATAAAATTTCAGGTTTGTATTCAACTTTTTTTTATTGAGACATTATCTATCGGAATTCCTGGACATGATTTCTCTAAGTTTCTTCCATTCTATTTTCCTTCTCCTTTCACTGAAGAAATGAAACGAAAAATTCAGAAAATTTGAGCCCAGGAAATTCTACAGAAAAAAAAGTTTTTGGGATGAAAATTGATGAGAAATTGAATTCAGCTGAAAATTTCAACGTTTTTTTGTTGGATTTTTTGAATAAAATGAAAGGAAAAATTGAGTAAAAAAAACTTGGAAAATTCATGTCGACGAATTTCTATAAAAATCGTCTCAATGGAAAGAGTTCAGTACAAAAATGAAATTCTCTTGATTTTTCTATTAAATTTTTTCGAGCGTGTCTCCTCTCATCCTATTCCTGTGGACACCACTTTAATTCACATCGACTTGAGTGAACTATTAATATATGAATCTTGCGTATGAAATCATATCCAACTTTTCGTGTAGAACCATGAGCCAACTTGTCATTTTATATATATTCCGGAGTGTATGTCCTATTTTTTGACATATAGAAAATGTATTCTTCGAGAAGAGTTCCAAGAATATTGAGAAATTACATCCACTTGTGTTGCAATGCAAATTCTACGAATATCCACTTGACATCATTGTCATTCATTCATTCAGAAAACGAAATGAAACATGAATGATCGTGCGGACGTCTTCAAGGCTATTTCCTGTGGTGTCATTGTGGTGAAATGTGATTATAGAAATGCGCAAATCGATGGACTGCGGTCAGAGGGAGCCGTTAGTAGCTCTTGGGCTACCTCAACGAGTATTTGTAAAGACTCATTTACATAAGCAGCAGATTGGCCCCTCCGCTATCACCATCCTCTGCTTTAAAAATAGTTACAATAAGTTTTCCATATTTTCGAAGTTTTTAATGATTTTTTCCTTCCAAATGGAAGCTTTGTAATCGTTCAAATTTAAGTTTTGGATTTTTTGTGTTATATCGACCCAGTTTGATCCAAAAAGTCTGAAATGGTATATTTTGGTACGAGTGAGACGGAATTTTCAGAAGTGTAAAATGCAAATCCATCTGCCAATCATTTTTGCCAATTTTTTTTGACAGTCATGTTACGTTCAGCGAGTGGCTGAACGGTGCCTCTTTCGTTTACAAGTAAATTCAATAGAATTCGATTTTTCTGTATAACTAATTCTATTAAGATATTTTCTACAAAATTTTCTCGGCTTAATTTTCTGTTTTTTGGCTGATTTTCGTGATGAAAAGAAAATAAAAATGCAATGACAAAAACTAGAAAAATTTGAGCCGAGGAAATTCTATGGAAAATATCTCAATAGAATAAGTTATTTTGAAAAATCGAATTCTATTGACTTTTTCTGTCGAATATTTTTTATTGAACATTTCAATAGAATTGTCCAACGCATTCATTATTTTAATAATATTGTGAGATATTGCACCTTACGGTAATTAAGGTTTACTCATCTTCATTGAAATTAAAAAAATTATATAATAATTGACAATTTAAATTGTCAATTGACTATGAACTACGGAACTGACAACATGGAATTGTCAATTCACTATTGAGTAAATAATTCGGAATTTGAATATTCAATTGATGATAAATTTGATAATTAAAAAATTGATGAGTAATCTTAACAATTCATTTATTCAAAATTTAACGTTAATTAAAATTTATGATTATGTCGATGTCTGTACGTTTTTCTATCAATTTTTTTCGTGCGTGGAAACTCATTGTTGGTCGATAAAATCAAATAAAGTCTCAATCCTCAAAATCAAATTTTGAAAAAAGAAAAAATTCCAAATCACTCATTCCATTTCCCTCTGTGATTATCTTCCTCGTTAATTTCTATTGAGTCTTTCAATAGAATCGGCCAAAACGAATCGAAAGTTCAATAGAAATCCAATAGAATTGTATAACAAATTCGATAAGTTTTCATGGATCGGCATCAACCATTGTTTTAGTAATATTACGAGAAGTTGCGCCTTACAATAATTAAGGTTTACTTATGTTCATTGAAATTTAAACAATAATATAATAATTGTTAATTTAAATTTTTGAAATTGACTATGAACTAAATAACTGACAATATGAAATTGTCAATTGACTATTGAGTAAATATTTATAAATGTCATAAAACTATTTTCGATCAGCCAAATAATCGTCAATCTTCCGAACTCATTTATTAATCGAGAAAATAATTCGAGCTTTGAATATTCGATTGATGATAAATTTAGTAATTAAAAAATTGATGAGTAATAGTAACAATCGATTTATTCAAAATTTAACTTGAATTAAAATTTATGATGATACCAGACGTCGGCTTGAAATGGTATGAATACACTTGTGAATTTGGAGAATACAAAAACTTTCTACTATCTCAATAGTGGAAAACTAACCCAGAAATCTCCATGAATTTGAATAGGGTAAAATGGACACTTTTGACTTTTTTAAAAATATTCATAACTCAGAAACAGATTTATCAATTGAGCTCAGTCTAAGCTCATCACAAAGAGGAATCATTGTTTTCCAATTGAAAAATAAAATTATTCCACTTCATGAACAATTCAATACGTCATAAATATTTCAAAAAAAGTCAAAAGTGTCCGTTTTACCCTACCCTCCCCTAAAAATAATTATTTGTTCGTGTCTGATGGCTGTAGGTTGTTCTATCAAATTTTTTCGTGCGTGGAAACTCATTGTTTGTCGATAAAATCAAATAGTCTCAATCCGGAATCAAATTTAAAAAAGGTTTTAAAAAAATCTCAGTTAAATAAAAAAAACAAAAATTCCAAAATCAGCCATTCCACCTCCCTCCGCGATTATCTTCCTCGAATGGGAATAAATCACTCGAGATAAATTGATGGGAAACAGGTGTGCTAATTTTGTATGTACACTTGACAAATTGCTCATTGATTCCAGTTGACTGAGAGGAAACCACTTCGATTCATTCAGTCAAGCATCGTTCGGTTTCATTCAACGATTCGACTCACGATTGAAATGAAGAAGGAGAAAAAGGAATTCTGCAAAACCAGCCGAAAAAGAGATACGATCGCTCGGGATTCTACAACACCCAGTGTTATATACCACTTGTTTCGCAAAACTGGTTTAACCCACGGAAACTCCGTGTGTCGCAGATGGTTTTTGCCGGCTTTAGCCTGCGGCATGGAGGCTCAAAGTAAATAAACATGCACTGTATGTCTCTCCGGATGTCCACTGGGCAACTCACTCATTATGTTTAACCATTTAATCTTGCCAAAAAAGTAACGTTGAGTGGAGGAGGGATTTAATAACAGGGTTTGGGGGGAAAAGAAGATGCGAGAGGAGGAGACTTATGTCATCTTTGGAGTTTGTGCACTCAAACATGTGACGCATTTGAAACGAATTAACGCGATTTTTTCAGACGTCCCTGGGCTTTGGTGAGGGGGCCAAGAAACAAGTGGGAAATTGCCTTCGTCCCATTATAGTCAAGACATTTTGGTAATTTACCTGTGAATGGCATTTCTATGGCGATGAATTTTTAATTTAGTTTGAAGGGAGACTACTATAATTTTTTAAGGCCGTGGGATATTGGAGTGAGATTTTTCGTGCATTGAGGATCGATGAAATTGAGAATAGAACCAGAGTTGTGAGAACATTGTCCAGTGGGGTCTAGGAGTCTCCCCTCCCCTTCACTCGTCTATTACGGAATGGACTCAGAAAATTTAAGTGACAATATCGTAATTTTTCACAGGAGATTCTGATAAAAATTACGGAACGCTCCGGAAAAATTCCGTGATAGTTCCGTAAAATTTCCTATAACCACATTTCGCTCCGGAATTACGGAAAAGATACGTAATTTTTATTGAATATTTCTCTCCGTGTGGTTGGAAAATCATCCTTAGAATCATTTGCACGCCATTTCGCGACCCGCTCTTGCACTCGGGCCTCAAACATTCACATCTTGCCTGACATCTCTGTTATAAACTTGGGTTTTGAACTCTGGTTTCAGAGTTCTATAAAACCTTTTTTGTAGAGCGAATTGAGTGCTACTAAAAAGGTTATAAAAAAAATTTTGCTATCTTCCTTAGATTTCGAGATAGGGTAAGCTACCCAGTAGATGGACACTGCCCTGTAGATGGACGAGCTACTTTTGGATAGGAAATTACGCAAAAAAACACTGAAATGTGAATTGTTGCTTTGAATTTTCACCAACTGTCGTGATTCTTAACCACTGAGTGACGATTTTTTTTCGATCAATTTTTTTTTTCTTTTGCTAAAAAACAAACGTCCATCTACTGGGCGGTTTTCTTAGGCGTCCATCTACTGGGCAGTTTACCCTATTCATTGAAAACTGGACAATAGCCAAAATCGACTTGAACCGTTTGGCCACGTCGCTACTGAATTATTAATTCATTCTGCATACATTTTAGGTCAGAGCTAAATGAGTGATTTATTTAACCCAAATGAAGGATAAAAAAATGAATAAGAATTGTGTTCAAGTTTGAATAAAAGCTCTATTATGAGCAATTTGGATATTTCAAAATGTTTGAAAATGTTTGAGTCACAGAATTTTTATGAGTTCCAACAGAAATTCATCGGAATTTCCTGGAAAAAGCTCCAGATTTTTCTGTTCAATTTTCTCATCCCTGATGCCTCATTGAAATCATCGTCCAGAAATTTTCATGAAAAATAAATCCACTCACCTGTCAAGCATCATTTGGCGAGATATCTTTCACGCACATATTATGCACATCAACCGGCGAAAGCTCCCTCCTAGCTGCCACTCAACACACCGAGAGTTGCATAATAAATTAACGATGATGATTGAAATTTTTATGACATTCCACTGGCTCATTCAACTACCTAGCCTCCATCAGTACCAATCTTTATTCATCTCTCCCAACAGGGGGACAGTATATGGATGATAAATTAAGTATTTTTAATGAAGCAAGTATCAAATTATTACGGGGGGAAAGAACATACATTCAATGAGCAGTCGTCATGATGATTGTGTCAGTGTGATAAAATTTTCAGTAGGTGCTGCTTCAGTGATTTCACTGTGGTGTGTCTAAGTGCCAACTAACGAAGCACAATCAGGTCTTTATCAGATCCAGTGTAGGTATATCAGTGACTCCTTCATTCCTGGAATGTCGAGTACTGTTGCGTATACAGTGTCATTGATCGGGAGACCTCGCATTCATAATTTTTATTTGCTTCCGAATGGAGCGACTACTCACTTCTGAAATTGTCAATCACACAGGGATCAATTTACACAGAAAAATCTAAATCAGCAGCGCAGTGGTAAAACGGTATAAGTCAGTTTTGACTATTGACCAGTTTTCAATTAATATCTCGGAATCTAAGGGAGATAGCAAAATTTTTGTTATAATCTTTTTTGTAGAGCCGACTGAGAGCTACAACAAATGTGAATGTGTAAATGAAAATTTAGACGAAAAAGTTGAACCGTGTGTCTCCCCAGTGATTGTTGCATCTAAATAGTATTCTTTAATGAACAGCAAATTTTTTCCATTTAAAAAAGAACCGTTTCGCCCCACCTCTTTTCTGTTAACTTTAGTCATCGCGATTTACGTGACTTCAATTGATCTGAAATTATTGATTTCAAATTAAGGGGGAGTCACACCGCTTCTTTAAAATACCACAAATAGTTGATGAGAAATTTCCTCAAATTTTTTTCAATTCCTTTTTTATGTAAAAAAATTCTAGGCATGAAATATCATGAAATTTTAATTTTTCGATAACATTCATTTTTTATTCAACAAAAAGAATTGAATAATTTTAAGTTCTATACAGTTGATTGTGCGGAACGTCATATCGAATGCACAAAAAAATGCGCTCAAAAATATTGAAAATTATAAAATTCAAATTTCAGGTGAAATTAGAACGGAAGTATCCCAGCAATGCCATTGAAGAACGATATAAATGTATTCAAGAATGAGAATCGTGATGGAGGGGAACCGAGTGTCAAACCCCTCCTGATGATTTTCGGCACATCCACATAAGTTTTGTCAACCCCAATGTCTTTGATCAATTTTGATAACTCCTCACGGTCCACCAAGTCCCCGATTGGCGACCAAATCGTGAGAGTTGGTTGATAATCCTTAGTTCTCTTCATGAGGTCTTTTATAACGGCTATATCATCCGCTGCCAGAGCTGCTCTCACGGGGTACGTGATCGGCTGAGTGATCTTGTTTCTTTCTAATGTATCTATCATGTTTTGGATGTGTTCTTCCGTGTAACTCCCTGTGAACTGCAGTGAGGTGATTCCATACCTGTTGATTAGTTTTTTGGTTCATTAATATGAATTACGCTGTTAGAATTTTTTTGAAATTTCATGGAAGATATTACAGTAAATCTCGAGAGTGTGACATTGAAGCGAATTTAGGGAAAAAATGGTTACGAAATTTCAAGTTTTAAGTAGAATTCACGGAAATTCATGGATTTTCAGTGGAACATGAATATTCAGGAATAAAATGACATGAATTTTCAATTTTCCCCTGAATTTTCCTGACTTTTCTGAATTTTCACCGAATAATTCGGTAGCGAAGCGGTAAAACGATTTAAGTCGATTTTGACTATTGGTCAGGCTTCAGTGAATATCTCGGAATCTAAGGCAGATAGAGAAATTTTTGTTAAAACCATTTTTGTAGACCAAATTGAAGACTACGAAAAAGGTAATGTCGAAAATGTCGCTATCATCCTTGGATTCAGAGCTATTCCTCAAAAACTGAGCTGAGAGCTAAGCCAACTTAAACCATTTCACCGCTTCGTTACTGAATTGAAGTGAAAAATCAAGTATTCTATTGATTTCTAGATAATTTGAACAGAAAATCAATACAATATTTCAATGATAGAGATTTTTTAATGACAAGATTTCCTGAAATTTCAGTGGAATTTGAACACCATAAAAATTTCCGAAATTTGGCACGGAAAATTCAGACGAAAATTTTCAACAGTGTACGTGATCCAAAATGAAAAACATGATCTACATGAAAAAAAATGCATGTTTTTCTTGCAATAACAAATTATAAATTATGATTCTAAATAAATGATAACAACTTTGTTGTCCATCCGACTGAGAGTGTGCTCTCCGGAAAGTTTTCCTTGGCCTCCTGCAGAAATTCATCTGCATCTACTGGTTTATCGTCTTCCGAAAATGGTCCCGGTAGAATATCAGCATTGAGCATCACCGGTACCACCATCTGAGTGATTAAAATCAGTCAAAAAGTAGAACGTACTCACATTTGAATGGAAATTTCATCGAAACATATAGTGAATTCGTTAAAAAATGTATTGGATTTCTATTGAATTTCTATTGAAAATTCTATTGGTTTTTGCCTGATTCTATTGAATTCCGGAGGTATACGGCGCATTTTCTTTCTTTGGAAAAAGTCCAACATGAACTATAACCATTCATAGAAAAAATCAATAGAAATTAATTTTTCTATATGGAGATATTTGCTGTAGGAATTCCTTGACATGAATTTTCAATTTTTTCCTCTTAGATGAAATTGAATAGAATTTTCTGGTGAATTATCAACAATTTTTTTGCGAAATTAATAAACTCGTTTTTGAGATTTGAGAATGAGCCCATTCATTCAATTCTAATGAAGTTTATTCAAATAGAAAAATCGTAATAGCTCTGAGGTGTGTCAACAGCAATATTATTTCTACGAACTTTTTCACGATACTCTTTCAGAATTGGAAGACTCGCTTTGAATGCCTCAATGGTTTTGAAGTCCAATTTGATACCGCTGGTGGGAGTTTCTAGAGTTTGGTCCAAAAAATCTGCCAATGATAAATCACTTGTGGTGGCTGGTGGATGTGCCATAATTGGGACGGTTTCGTCGGGGTTGCCATACACTTGGCCCAGTGAAACATCAGTTTCCAACATCATTATTTTTCCTTAAAGGTCAACATTTATTACCATTAACAAATGAATGTTGATGAGACCAGACGAGAGATCCCGAGTCGAATAATTGGACCTGACAAATTCTACTTAGGTCTTTCCGTTCAGAACTGGATAGGTCTTGGGAAGCCTCTTCCCAAGTGCTTCCGAGACCATTCTACCTCTGGTTATGTCCCATTTCAGCACTTGTTAGGTGTAAGCAGGACTTGGATTCAGACTTTCCAAATCCTTGCCGGTCCCCGTAATTCTATGGGCCTATATTAAATCTGCGTTCATATCGCTGTTTACTCATGCGTTATTGAAATAAAAAATGCAATTATTGTTTTTTTTTTAATATCGAAAATCGACATTTCACGGGAGGGTGGAGGGGAGATGCATGTATGCGGAGGCTTGACATTTTTACCCAGCAAGCGGAGAAGGTTGCCGAATCTATTCTAGCCACTCTTGCCCCTCCGCTTGCATGCATTGTCCAAATAAAAAATGAAAGTGTTAACAAATCTGACCCTTGTTCCAAGTAACAACCGAAAATCTGACCCTGTGGCCGCCGGTGAAAAATTTTTTTTTCAGTTTCCACTTTTTCCACATACTTTCGAGAGTTCTGAATAGCCCGTCGCTTAAATAGTTGGAATCAACGTTCACCCAGCTAAAAAATTCGATTTTGGCGAAA